TGACATTTGTGGAGGAGCAGGCAACTATTTTTTTGCTTTTGAATTGTCCGGACTATAAGATTAATACTAAATAATGTGCAGAAACCTGTGATTGAGCATCGTTCCTATGAATAGCTGGCCCAATAGGACACACAATAGGTTAGAAGTTGTAGATTGTCATTGGTGATAGGAAGACTGAAGGAAAGAGTCCCAAAGGAGATGCTTGATTGGTTGAAAGTGAGAGGAAGGGGCGATGCACATGCTGGCAGATGTAAGTGAGGGCGAAGACTATGTCTGGTCTAGTTACATGGAGGAACTGAAGGAAACCAACAATTTGTCTGTATTGAGTGGTGTCAGAATACTCTTGGAGTGAAGCTTAGTCGGGATGCAGCTTGTGGGAAAAAGGAGTGTGTAGAAGTTTGCAGAAAGACTTTCCAAGTTGATGTAGGAGTGATGTAATATAAGATGATTGGTTAAGATGATAGTCGTGCGGGGTTTGATTAATGGTGATGCCAAGAAACATTTTAACGAGCCCCAATTCCTCGATTTTAAATTCAGCTGTGAGAGTTTGTACGAGGCAGGCAATAGCGGTTGGATCAATAATTGTGATGAAAATGTCGTCCACGTACACGAGAAAATAAAAGGCGAGCTGGTTGTGATGATAAATAAAGAGAGAGGGGTCAACGGTACTTCGATTTTAACCTTGGCTTTGAGCTGATTGATGAGAATATGATATTATTTCCTTGGTGTTGTTCAAGGCCAGAGAGGGCCTTTTTTAGTAATATTTGGTTTGAATATTGGTATCTAGGAAGCCTTGAGGTTGATGCATGTATATAGTTTATCCAGAGAGCAGTGTAGGAAGGCATTAGAGACATCCAGCTGCTGAATTGTCCATTTTCAGTGAATGGCAGTTGAGATGAGGATTTAAATAGTGGTCAGTTCAGCAACAAATTATAAAGTTTCACTATATTGAGTGCCCTGTTGTTGCTTGAAGCCTTGTGCAACCAATCGTGCCTTGTATTTGGCCATTGTTCCATCATGATGATACTTGGTTCGACATGTCTATTTGCAGCCAATGAAATTTTGGTGAGGTGGTGGCTTGCTGAGAATCTGATTCCCTTGATGCTGAAATGCTTCATCGAAGACATGGTCTTTCGCCGATGTGGGAATTTTACTGTCTGTGTATAGCAAGTAGAGTTGAACGGTGATGAAATGGATTTATGCAAATTTAGGAGTTGTTTTTTGTTGAAGTGGCCCCGTTTGGCAGTGGGTTATCATGGGATGTTTGATTGAGGTGATGGGATGAGGACTTGGGAGGGCTGTGGTGGAGTGAGATGATTGTTTTGTTTGAGAGGTAATTGTATGTGTAGTGGAGGATGTAGAAGGTTGGCTGGGTTGACGTGGGGAAGGAGGATCTGATGTGATGGCGGGTAGATTAATAGAGATAATTAGGCTGGGTGGAGTATATGTATCGGAAATTTCAGTTGGAGTTGGTTGAGTATGGTAAGGAAAGATTGATTCATTAAAAATCACATTTCGTGATATGATGATTTGATGTGTTTAAGAATTGTAGCAGCAATAGCCTTCGTGAGATTGTGAGTAGTCAATGATGATGTGTGGTGAGGAAAAGGGTGCGAGTTTATGTGGAGCTTGCAGCCTTTGTCAGAGCAAAAAGTGGCATCCGAAGGTGAAGAGGTGAGTATAGATGGATGGCGTGCGATAGTGAAGAGGTTTGTGGTCTTGGATGGCAATTTGTTTATTAGGTAGGTACTTGTCATTAGAGCTATTGTCCATAACTTAGGAAGTAGTTGAGCGGTAAAGAGAGTAGTTCTTGTGATTTCGATCAAGTGCCTGTGCTTGTACTCAACCACTCTGTTTTGTTGAGGTGTATAGAGGCTGTTGAATTGGTGAAAGAGTACCATGGAAGGTGAGGTATAGGTGTAATGTTTTAGATGTATATTCGCCTACACCATCATAACGTAGTACTTTGATATTTGTTTTGAACTTGGTTTGTACTAATTTGTGAAAAGATACGAGTTAATTTGTTGTTTTAGATTTTGCAAGATTTGGAAATAACCGAGTGAAACGAGAGTGGTCATCAATAAGAAGAAGGTAATATTTATATCTTTGCATTAAAGTGGTGGGGGTTTGACCCCAAACATCAGAATGAACAAAATCAAAACAACATTTAGACTCATAAACAGAAATAGGAAATGTTATTGATGACTAAGAGGAATTAAATTCATTGCAGAAGAGCTTAAAAGCAGAACTAACTATAGTATTTGTTTCCTAAAGAGAATGGTTGCAATGGCATGGTGAGGGTGACCCGACCTTCGATGCTATAATTCAACGGATGGTGGAGATGGGTGGATGGCATCCAATGACGATATAGGATACAGACTATCCTTGCTAGGTCCTTTGAGGAGGATTTTGTTTGTTCTCTGATCTTTCATGACAAAGCCAGATTGATTAAATGATATGTGACAATTATTGTCTGAAAATAATTAGTTAGTGGAAAGGAGATTATGGGATAGGTATAGAAAATAAAGAAGCTTGGAGAGGTAAAGCTTATGTTGAGGGGTAGGGAGAATGCCTTGAACGGTGTGGGTGATGGCGAGAGTGGATCCGTTTTCGATGGTGACAAAATCCGATTTATGTTCCTGGTATGGTTTAGCATGTCGTAAGCGACCATAGTTGGAGATGAGATGAGTTGTAGCACCATAGTCTAAAAACTAATCATCACAACAGGAATTGGTTGAGGTCATTAAAGTTGTATCTATATTGGTAGAGGGATAGGAACTGAAATTTATTGTGTCAGCATGTGAATGTGACCGGATTTGCTGCAAATTTGACATGTGGGGCGAGTGTAATTGTTCCTGGTCCTTTACCTGTTCTATTCAAAGAGATTGTTGGTCGACTGTTGTTGTTTCCTCTATTTTTGTAAGAGTGTCAATCATGTCTTATGTTCCCGTTGTTTCCTCCACGTTTGGTGTATAAGGCAATTGTTGTAGCATTGGTTTCCTTGGCATTTTCAGCAAATATATTGTTCTCCTCGCTGCATGACAAAGAGTATGTCATCCAGCTTTATGGGTTTTGGCCTTGTGCGAATGACAGTTTTAATAACTGATATACGGTCGGTGGTCCATTGAGGATATGAGGGATGATGTCCCCTGATCGATGCGACCGCCAGCAGTGCCAAAGTTATCGACAAGGGATGAAAAGGTATTGGGACATGGTTTGATATTTCATGGAGATGTGATGTAGCACATTCCGTGGTTGAATGACCCTGGATTGGTTTGTGGATTGCAGCCTCCATTGGAGGGTTTGTTAGATTTCTACATTGGATTCAAGGTTGAGAATGTATGGCAGAATCGTAGGGGATATTGTGGAGTAGATTGTTGTCGATAGGCTTTGATCGATGAGCTGCCAGCTTAAGAACAGCAGGTTTGGGATCCGAGTTATGGTTGTGGGAAGGAGAGCAGATCATTGATCCATATAGGAAGCTTTCAAAGCCATTTGCCTTGAAACATTTGTAAATTTGGGGTTTCCATGTGGATGTGAGCTGGACATTTGCGATGGCTTTGACATTGGACATCAAGAACTTGAGTGATGGAGTAATGGGAGTATTTTCCATTACCGGAATGACAAAATTGGACTCTCGGTTTGTGTAGGAGGAAGTTTTAGACATTGGAAGTAATGAGATAAGAGTTAAGCAGTAGAGGAGGAATGAGGTTTAGGGATTTAAGGAAGAACCTGGTCTTCTAATACCATGTAGAAGCGTATATTACTGCAGTGAGGAAACCATTCCTTACATCAGTAGAATAGAGAAGAAACCAAAGGCTAAATATGAATTTCAGTGTATATTATTACAGACTTGATGACAGGTATATATAGACTCTATAGTTGGTTCTGGGGGGAATGAAGTGGTCCCAATGGCAGAATTGGTTAGCAGAGGATAGTGGAGGGTAAGCCCTGGGGTGTCTAGCAGCTGTAGGTTTGTTAATTTGAATTGAAATATTATAATATTTATCAAAGACAAAATTGTTCAGAAGATGATGATTTGAGAATTATTAGAAGATTGATTAACCACGTGATTTATAATTTTAACGAATGTAATATTTATTATCAAGCATAGTATTTGATTGATTGAAACCTAGGTGTAAAAAAGTATCATGAATCTTTTATATTTAGTTGCCACATAAATGAGAACATAACTAATGAAGTTGAAGTTATATTGTTAAAATAGAAAAATGGCCTAGTAAAGAGTGATGAGAGAATATCATGAAAATATAGATAAGATTAAAAAGAAAGAAAAATATATTAGGCCAGCTATGCTTTAGTGTGGGGCAGAGATGAAATTACTGAAAACATAATTGATTGTTGTGGAAATGAGAATGGTAGGATGAAAATATGTAACATTATAAATCACAATGTAAGAAATGATTTTACTGGAGAAAGTGTGAGAGTAATTTTTTTCAGAATAAGAGTAAGAAAAAAAATTTAGGTAGATTATGCAAAACTAAATTTAAGCAAAAGATTCACCAATAGATGATCTGTTTCGACCCATGTTGAATAGGTGTTCCAAAACCAATACCGATAAACATAATTTTGGTAGCTCGCCTTAGCCCAACACTATAGAGCTTTTACTCCTAACATAAAATCTTAGATTTGAAGCCTAGAGCCTAGCACATTCATTTGTGCGAGAGTGTACAATTAAATTTGCACAAAGTCACAAACATTTATAATTTAATTTACCTTAAAGCTGATGAATTTTCTTCTCATGCCATTCTAAATATCAGTAAAAAACTTTGGCAAGTTCTGTCAATGGAGGTATTATTGCCCTTTTTCACAAGCAAAGTTGCTTTTTATTGCTAAAAAACTCTTAAGAATTAAAAGAAATGAAAACTTTGATATTATTGAGATCGTTCAGATAACTTCAGACCACAACAAAATGTGTAGCTGTGCAGTGAAAAGGCCGAATAGGCCGTATAGTAACCAAAAAATTGAGTTGGGAGTGATACCTTCTAATTCCGCCTTGTCCACACGAATTTCAAGTGATTTTGCATAGGCAAAAAATCCGACCATCAATTGGCATGGCATGCTGCTTGGTCCAACTGAAATATTTGGAATAATTAAAAAAAAAAACTACAAATTATAAACCTACTGAAATATAGACAACATCCTAAAAGCAAGATACAACTTTTCATGCATAGGTTCATAACAACACCAAAGTGCTATAAGTGAAAATATTAAACTTTGGGTGTTAGATATGTAAATGGGTAAGAATTGTGTGGTATGTATATAAATTTCCCAATACAGAAGTAAATAATAGTACCTGGCCATGGCTGTGAGCTATGATAGATTACTTGACCGACTTCAATGCCCGTTTCCTCCAAGGTTTCTCTTCGCACGGCTTCTTCTAAGCTCTCTCCTGGCTAAAAGAAATGCACACTTTTTAACATTATCATGAAGAGAGCTCGAAGCAGCAAGATAAATATTGAAAACGGTAGTTCAATGAAAATTGGGATAACATAGCCTTTAGCAAAGAACATATATCATTGAGCAGCAATTGAAATTTAGAATCAATTCTATCTCTATTTGAACTGAAGGAAGGGACAGATTCAGCTTTATCTGATTGAAATCTATCAGAAAAGTCGATGGCAACACTACAATTTAGAAGACAAAGACTGGATACTTCATTATATTTTCAGGCTACTCATAACCTCTAAAGGGTTCTTGATCTCCTAATAAAGCTTTCATCATCAGCATTTCATTAAAATAATACTATCCATGCTAAGTCTACTTTTAATCAAATACTAAGAGAATATAATCATATACCTAACAACATTTAAATAAAATTAAACATGGGTGATGTGCTGTAGTACCTCTATAAAGCCAGCAAGGCAGCTCCACATGCGAGGAACAAATCTCGATTGACGGCTCAAAAGTGCACGGTCATTTTCCTTATCAATTACTAGCATGATAACAACCTGTTGAGAAAATGCCACATTAGATGAAATTATGCAAAGAAACTTCTACCAATGTTCATGCAAGGAAGCAGCTGGAGTGAACCCAAAGCTTCACTGCAAAACTTTGTATGTTATGCCGTCATTACATATATCATCATGATGAAAAAAAATTGTAGAAACATTACATTAATAAGAAGAGAGCTTAAATCGTACAGGATCGATTCGAGGATATATTTTTTTCTTGCATGATTCATCAGAGCATTGCTTCCGCCTTCCAGCATCTATGGGAGATGTGATGGTTCCACAATAGCCACAGAATCTTGAAGTTCTATGCCAATCCAGTAAAGCTCGGGCCTAACAAAAGCGTATATTAGAAGTTAATTAGCGTCTCATTTCACTGCATGACAAGAAGCCAAATTATGCTAATTTTATTGAAGAGCGTATTCATTACATGGAACTTCTGCTAATGCAAAATCTGAAAAATATTGTTAAATGCAGACTTGTCACATGAAAGATAAGCAAAGCTGTTGCAAGGAATGTAATTTTTTTGGAAAGCCGTTTTGGGCATTATAAACATTTCCATTTTCGAAAATTTTTTACAGTGGTGATACGTCACCAACAAATTTTCATCATCCGACACAAATCTCAAGATGATATTTTAAGCAAGAAACATTTAAATCTTTATAAAAAGTCATCCAAAGCTCCGATTTCAACAAACTTATAATCAAACTGAACTTATGGTCAAACTAACCGGCTCGATGAGACGGTCCTAATGATATGAAAATTATTCCAATCCGAGTCAAATCAAGCTTGGATCAAGTCATTAAACTAACATTTAAAGATTTTTGGACACATTTGGAAGTCAAACAGATGTCGACACTGGTAGGTTTATACTCGAATCGAGCGGCTCGACAAGACGAATCCAACGAGTCCAAAATCACTCAATTCTGACATCGTTAAGGCACTCAAATGTTCATTAAATGCGGCATGATCAGAGGAAATTTTCTGAACCGTCCGATCCAAATGGTTGATATTCCTACATTAATTGCACACAGAAAAATATAAATAGACCCCCACCCATCACATGAGAGAGAGCTGAAGTCTAGAGAGAGAGAGTCTGTGACCTTGAGGAGAAGCTGCAGTTCAGCACCACCGCCGACCTCCGCGTCAACGTCGTCGACTGCCGCCGACCTCCGACAACCACCGCCAACCGTCGTCGAGCTCTGACAACCATCATTGACTACCACTAACCACCATCGATTACCATTGGCCATTTACCGTCAGTCGACGTTGTAATCTAAAAAATAGTTACAATTTCTCGTTTGTGGGACAAGGGATTCCTGTAATCAACAATCAATAGTGAATTTCCACAACTGGGTCAGGCCCCGTGGTTTTTCCCTTATGGGTTTTTCACCTAAAAACTTCTGGAGTCATCACCGTTTGTTTCTCTTTCATCTATGTGTGTGTTGAACTTTCGTACAAAACTAAGACGATAGTTCGTTACTCTACCACCACAAATTTTCTAGTATGCATCAAGTAGCTTTCTTACAACTAACAACCTTTGTTAGATATGATTCTTAAAAGCAACTTTCTACTAATAAGTAGTCAAACAAATGTGTGATAATAGTCTAAAAGACAAAAGCAAAGAGAAAGTTTCCCCAAAGAGGGCATAAGAGCTTACCACTCAACTTCCTTTAGCCGTTCACAACAAGAAACAATATACACAAATCTACTCCTATAGCATGAAACTAAAACGGCTTGGCTGGGTGATAAAGTTTAAGACTTTAACTGTTTATTGTCCTGTTCAGTGGATTATGACAAAAAGGTTACACTGTAAGCTTAGCAGCTGGCAATATTTAAACCATGACATTTGAGAGAGAAAAAAAAATCATATTTTAGACTAAGTTATCCTAAGCATATGGAAACCATCAGAGTGGTGGAATCCAAATTTGAAATGGCAAAAGAAATTACATAAAATATAAGCCGGGAAAAGATTTTATGATTTATAGAATTAAAGTAGGATTTAAGTATAAAGCTCCAATATTATAGACCCTTTTACAAACCTTTTTTAAATCTAAGAGGACCGGAATGCTGCCCAACACCTTTTTTTTTATGCTGCCAAACAATACGCATAAACGTTTATCCTAAAGCTATAATTTTTACAGTTAATGATAAGAAATAATATGATAATCTCATCGTCAGCATAAAAAAACAGCCATATCCCAACTAATTACGAAGAATTTATATGTGAATAACCTATTTAAGGCAAGCTTTAGCTAAAATCTCGCCAAGCATAAAACTAGAGATTTAAATCCTACTTTTTTGGATAAATCTCATTTGAGTTCTTTTTTGAATAACCTATTTAAATCTCTGTGAAGTTTAGCCCCCTCATGAATTTTTAAAACCCGAAAGCAACTAGTCTAACAAATTATCATCCTATTAGCGAACCATTTCACGGATTTTTCATCCCAAGATTTGCTAAATCCCAATAGAGAGAGAGAGAGAGGCTTACATGTCCAGCAATCGATAATTCACCCATGGCACCCGCATCAGCCCAATCGGCGGCAACCATTAGAGTTCTCAACTCGACGAAGTGAAGCCCATCGCTTCCGCTACCCAACCGACCAGTAGCGGCGTCAGTGACATCAACCGCCCAATACGCCTCACCTTCCTCTTTCCCCGAACCCAGGTAGACAAAGGAATCCAAAGATACCTCCTTAACCTGCGACGGAGAGATCCAACCCAAACGCCAAATCGGCGTTGAATCTGCGACCGGATCCAACGACCGCACCAGCGGCCGGCCCTTCCTCAAAACCAGGATCTTCACTTCCGGCGTCGAATACTCCGCCGGCCCTTCCAAAAGAAGCGACTTTAACTTGTCGAGTGCGGAATTAGGTGATTGGACGAGCTTGGCCAAGCTTAGAGGGTTTCCGGCGAAAGCGTGGGCCGGGAGACGAATCGCCATGGCCGGAGGATTTATCCAATCTCGCTTTTTGACCCGGTTGCTTCAATAGTTTTCGTTAAGGTCTTAAGGACAACTGCTTTTTCTTCGCTTTGATGTATCATTTTATTGACTCCCTTCGTTGCGCCTTATTTTTTCTTACCGCATTTAAGACCGTCGCCGGAGAAGTGTTAGGCAGTGGCTCTTCCTTTTCGTTTCAGTGTAAGTTATTTGTATTCATAAAATTAAGTAAGCTTTGAACTCATTTATAAATTACAGGTAGTTAATAAAGAGATTATAGGGAGTTATAGAGGAGTATAACCCTGATATAATCCCTTATACCCCATGAATAACTCCTAGACCTATGCAGCACTACGTCTTATGTACTCAAATATTTTCCGTGGCGATGGCGGTATGCATTTTACATAAAAAATTTTATTTTTTATAGGTGTCAAAATTTGTTCAATATGGGTCTAATCAAGCTTGAAACATAATTAGAGCTTTGAATTATTAAATTATGAAATAAACTCCAAATTTATCATATTTTTAGTCAAATCGATCATTTGGATGAGAGGAATCCAACCAAACTAATATCACAATTTGATGAGGGCATCAAAGCATCCAAATCCTTAAAAAATAACTTTTTATTAAGATGAATCATCACGAACTATCTCATGAGATGGTTATGAAAGTTACTAGAAAAATACCAATATAAAAAATCTCAAAAGGCTACAATTAAACCCTCTTTCTTCAATTATAAGGGGAGGAAGATAAAATAAGAAGTTAAACTCCAAATCCTATTTTAAAGAGAATACCTAACCAGTAACCACTGACCACCGCAACCACTAACCACTATCGACAATTACCCTTCGACCACTATTGACCACTCTCTATTGTCATTGCATGTTGCCACCGACTTTGTTGTTGGCGACCACATCTTGCAACTATTGTATTAAAAATATGGATATTGTGTCCAACATTTATATTTTCTTTGAGTTGTAAAAAACATAGGTAATTTTTAATGTAAGATTGTAACCCGATTTCTTCATATCATGTTGTTTTTTTTTATTTCACCCCACTATCTTTAAATTTTACTTTTACCACTGGTTTGATTAAACATTTAACACAAGGAAAACAATAACACATATGTTTTTGTATCTCACTTTAGTAGTAGACTCAACTTAAATAGGAAAGTATGTTACATTTATTTGTTTATTTATGTTTCTTAGATTTACATTAATATATGGTTGTTGGTCGCTTTTGTAGTGGTGCTGCCATCGGTCTTCATTTATGTTGATTGGATTTGATGTCGATGTCATTGTCGTCGAGTCGCCAGCTTGTCTTTTGTTATTAGTTCTCTTCTCTAAATAATTCTTCATCTCAAATCAAGTGGATGAATTAAGAGATGAGAAATAGGAGGATTATGACACGCAATAACAGGAACAAACAAAATAAGTATGTAGGAAGCCTTCATATAGGTAAATATTCGCAATTATAGCTTTAAAGCATATGTTTCGAATGCTTTAAAGGCACAAATGCGAATGAGACCCTACAAAAGCTGATAACTAGAAAGTGTGATTTGATATACCAATTTTAGAGTTCTCGTCTTCCTTATAAGGGCAAGCTTTTATAGGTAATTACATCTTAAATGGTCAGTACTATTTAAAAAAACCTGTGATTAAGGTTATGATTTGTTAACGGAAAAATCAAAAGTAGTTATCAAAACGTCAAAGTTATATCCTAAAGGTAGTAAATTCCTAAGGATTCTAAACTACCTTAAAGTTTCATTATGTCGTTCATACTTTAGTTAAGGTTCGCCCTTTCTCTTCAAGTTTTGACTGCTCGTTTCTGCAAAATAGAGGTAGCACGCAACAATAACATGTGAAGTAAATATAAGGTAACATTTGTCTTTTGTCTTCACCAGCCCAACAAAACAAAGGTAGCATGTAATATTTTATTTTTATTTGTTAATTTTGTTTATTTAAATTTTTAGATAACCCGATCAAGATGTCTATGACTTGGTTGACGCGAGGTACCCTAGTTTACTTAGCCTGAGAGGTTTTCAACCTAATCTAACCAGAAAACTCTTTTTAGTAACCGCAGCTTACGTCGTTAAAGAGATTTTCACAAACTTGGATAGTTGGGTTAAAGTTGCGTTCGATGACCTTTGTTCGTTAAAGTTTCATTTAGTTTTAATGTCTTTTTCAAAATTTAAAGGTTAAAAATTTTAGATTGTTCGAGACTTAGTAGCAAATTAAAAAAAATATATTTGTGACATTTATTTTATTTGGGATGACCCGATCAAGATCTCATAGTTCTGTCGTCCCGGGATCACTAGGGTTTGCGGTTTAATTAGTCACAAGTAACTGAAAGGTAGTTTATTAGCAGTCATTGGTTGACTCCTCCAGAATACCTTCTCAAATTTGGTTTCATTTTTATGTTTAGGTTTAAATTTTAACATTTGTTTATGGTGAATTTTATGTCATTTCATTTAAGTTTTTTTGATACTTCAACTCAATTTGTCCCCGACTGAGGCCAAGTGCGCTTTCATTTTCGAATAAATTTTTTTCTTGGAATTCAATCACTTATATTTAGATTAGGGTAAATCAATCTGATATGAAACTCTATATAATCTAAGTTAACCCAAGGCATGTTGGTTTTTCCTCATATTATCTTCAAACTTGCTTAGGTTGACTCAAGTTTAATGTGATTGACCCAGATTGACCTAGTTTGATCGGAATCAAAATAATTCTACTTAGCTTAAATTGACTTATATTAATTCAAGTTAAAACAAGTCAGATTAACTTAGAAGAAGCGAACCAGGTTAAACCGGACTAACCCAAGTTAAATATTCAAGGTTAAATCAAGTTAAATTAGACTTTGATAAATTCTAAGATAAACTTGATTTATTGAGTCTGGGTTAGGTTATAATTATATCAATACTAAGAGATGTCCAACACCTAGTGGTTAATTTCAGGTTTTCAATTGGTAAAAAACTTAAACCTACTCAACCAAGGGTTGGAAGCTTGAGCTTGCACTAGCGAGGTCCAGGCATACCCTAGTTTAGGGTTATGTTCAGGTGGCTGGAATGAGTCTTCACAAAAGTGAGTTTAACAATGTTCTTATATATATATATATATATATATGTATATATCTATATTAATTTTTAACAAATTTACATGATGGGTGAATCAAGCCAGAATTAGCTCTAATATAATTGATTAGTTTATAAAATTTAACTCATGAATATTTATGGAGTTGAGCAAATTGCCTAGACAACTTTAGCCATTACTTTTATTTTGGGTAAGATAAACATTTCCGTCATTTAAAATTATTCATTTCATTTTTAAACATTGTACCTACGTCTTCAACATCTCTTAGGTTGCACTTGGGACAACTACAACTGTTTCAATAAGTTATTGCAAAGTTGTTTTTAGGATAAGCTATTGTTGGAAAGCATGATAATGAATCACTGTGATTGTTTTGATGATTTGTTCTACTGTAACTGTTTATGACAAAAACAACTATAATGCTCATATGTGCCATTGTTAAATATAAATAAGCAATTTTAAAAACAATTTAAACATGACAATATAGATAAATTTTAGCAGTAAAAAAAATGTTAAAGTTCACTATTATATTTCATCATGAGTAATGCGTTACATAACACAAAAGGAGAAGAGTCTAATAAGCCCCCATACTCATCAATTCACAATTCAACATAAAAAAAAAAAGATATAAAAAAAGCAAAAAAAAAAAAAAAAAAAAAAAAAACTTAAAGAAACTCACATAGATGCCACAACCGAACACACCCAAACACACATAGAAGGAAGATAGCCCCATAAGCCCCCATCTTTCGAAAAATCACAGTCCGAAGTCGTAAATGAATTCACAGGAAAAGGTTGTCATGAAATGTTAAAAGAAAGTGGTCACAATATTGAATAAAAGCAAGTCGACTCCATATTAGATGAAAATACGAGGCGGTTGAAACACACCACAATGGTGCCACTACATGCCGAGTTAAGGTCCCGTTTAAGAACAAGGCCATGCATCGTTGCGTTGAAGAGAACATCAACAGAATCCTCCGTTCCTGTTTGGTTCATCTCTTCTTTGTGAGTTGTGTCAGCATCACATGTATTTGTTCATCATTTTAGAATGTGAGATCTTCACAACTTCGACTCTGTTGCCCAACTTTCCACTGTTCCAAAATGGAGCTTATCGGGACGTTGCTTTTAAATGGATTTCCTCTAACGTAAAGTTATTTCAAACTAACCCCAAGTGTTTAGTTACATCGGATTTCTTGCAATCTTATACGACCAGGGTTGTAAAAAAAACTCATCGTTCGTGAACAACTCATATTTGATTTGTTTGTTAAGAAAATGAACCGAATATGAACATATTTTTTTGAGTTTAATTTATAAACGATTCAAACACGAACAAATTTTTGTTTTATCATATTTGTCTCGAATAATCAAGTAATAAATAAAAGTTAAATTAATGATATCTTTGATATGATTATGCTATAAAAAAACCCTCATCGTTCACGAAAAGCTAGTGTTTAGGTTGTTATGTAAATCGCGTTTGACTTATTCATCAAGAAAACAAGCCGAAAATGAATAAACTTTTTAAGATCAATTTATATATGAGTCGAACATGAAAAAAATTAACAAGCCGACAATCAATAAATCTTTGGCTATCTTAAGCTAGGGTTGTAAACCAGTCTAGCATGAGCGAGCTTGGGCTTGGCTCGTGCACGCGTTCGAAATTCTTTTGTGTTTGAAATCAGTTCACAAACAGTGTGTACATGTTCAAATTGATTTAACTCATTAAAATTAATTGGAAAAATAAATATTGGATGTTGGATTCAAACCTACACCAACTATATGCAATTGAAGAAACAGAACTACACGACCACACTAGCTATTATGTTTTAAAATCAAATATAAGTATATGTAATATATTATTATATAAGTAATATATATAATGTATTATTAAATAAATATATATAATGTATTATTAAATAAATTATGTATATATAAATTTTTTTTTTATTTCAATTAAAGTGAGCCGAAGACGAGCAAAAAAAGACTTGTTTGTGCTCTGCTTGTTTTTGATTTGAAGTTAAAAATATTATTTATGTTCAGTTCATTTACTCAAAGAAGGAGCCAAATATTAGTTAATTGCAAATAACAATTTTTTTAGTGAGCAAGTTGAGGTGGAAAAAATA